GGGTCTCATACCACAGACCCTACACGGGAAGTGGCTGCATGTGCTGAGTAGGACCCTGCCAGTCTGAATCCTGTGTGATGGATCCCAGCATCTGGGGTGTGTGCCTAGAGCCATTTTTAGGAGGTCTGAATCTTGTGGAGACCATCCTTTATTCAAGTGTGTGGTACAGAGGAGCCCAGCGTGTTTAAGAGCCTGGCAAGACAACACAGTTGACAGTCAACAGCAGCAGCCTTGGGAGCCTGCTTTTGGCTCCATGCAAGTCTTGTCCGCGCCCACAAACACACACATGTGTGGCATTGCCCTTTGTACCTGGGACAGCAAATGGACACTAGAAGTACACTCACACACTCTCTGTCCTCTCCCAGATGCTGTCATCCCTGACAGGGACCAAATCTGGAAACCATTCTTGCTGTTGGTTTTGGTTTTTAATCACGACACCCTTCCCTCTTTTGTCAGTTCCATATACTTGACCTAGAAAAAAAAGAAAACCAGAAAAATGGGGAAGGAAATAGTAATATAACTTAAAGAAAAAAATCCAACCTGTAGGAAGCTCTCAGCTCTTCAGTGTGTGTGTGTGTGTGTGTGTGTGTGTGTGTGTGTGTGTGTGTCTTGTGCGAGGCAATGCTCTTGTGTCCAGCCCGGGTGGTCCCCCAGTGACCCCTGGCTCCTGCTGCTCTTGACCAAGTGCCTGACTTCCGAGCCCTCTCGTGCCAGGCTCCTGGGGGCGGTGACGTGAGGCCTGTGTGGTGGGTTTTGTGGAAACAGTTCCAAATATCAACCAAGTAGAAAGCTGCTGTCAATGGAGAACACTCATATAACATCCAGGAGGAGGTTATAGGTGGAAATGAAGTGACCATTTCCCTGTTTTCCTCCCACCAGCATGAGAGTTTCCTGGGAAGCCACAGAGCAGGGTAGAGCGTGTCCTTGTATGGGGGGTTTTCAGTCTGTTCTACATCTGAATCTCAGGGATGGGATGCCTGCCAAAGGGGGCATGATGTCTGCTGTCGTGAAAGTTTCTTTTCAGATAAGGCCAGAGGGAGGGAGAGGTGGTGGGAAGAGGGAGAGGTGGGAGCAGTGGAGTTGGAGCTGTCGGGGCAGGAGTGAGGGCCTGTGTTTGAGCAGATGCGGGCACTTGGGATGTCCTGACTGAAATGAGGCCCAAACTCGGAGGAAGCGATTGGTGAAGGAGAACCTTGGCTACTGCGGCTCAGATGGGAGTTTCTGAAGCCCAGCACTGTGTGTGGCACGAGATATGGGAAAGCAGGAAACAAAAGAGAAATCCAACCTCATGGCCATTCTCAAAAGGGAAAGACCATAGTTAGGAGGCTGTGCATAAAACACTGGGACACCTTTTGTTTTGTGAACAAAGGGAACGTTTAGATGATGTGATTCTGGTGCATCCTCCCTGTTTGGAAATGTCAGATGATCTCTTTGCTGGATCATTTGAGTGTTCCCATTGGCTTTTACCCCATGACTCACCTTGAAGAAACTTGGCCTGTGATGTGTGTGTGCGTGTCTGTGTGTGGAGGTGTGTCCTAGTGAGTGGATGTCGTTAACCCATAGGGCTATGCAACAAAAGACACACATTTAATAGAAATAAATCACGTAAGACCGCCACCTGTTCTAGGGTTTCAGCATGATTGTGACCAAACCATTTTATAGAATTTCCTTACTGGAAGGCACAACACTCTGAAACTTTAAGATTACAGAGTATTTTACTGCAATAGGAAATAATAAACTGGAATGGAATCTCAGACTGTGCATGAGATCGCTGTGCTCCTGTTGCAAAGCAGAAGGACCTGTATTTTGATACTGATGTTTCATCTCTGGCCCATGTTATTTTGAATGTATCCATTCTGTGCAGAACCACAGCTACTTTCCTGGCCATGTTGGGTGGAGAATCACTGTTCTAGCCCCACACAGCCTCACCACTTAAGTTGTCTGGATTCTTCTAGACACTGGAATTGGTGAAAACTACAGGGAGTGGGGGAGGAGATACTGTGTCCTGTTTTCCTGAATTTGGGTTTTGTTTCTGTATTGTCTCTTTTCAGCTATCCTATGTTTCCACTGAGATCTCATAGTGAGTTGCCAAATTTGAAATGCATTAACCAGTTGTCTGCATCTGGACCAGTCAAGCAGTGGCTGTAGTTTGAATAAGTTATGTGTGCATGTAAAATATATACATATATACATATATACAAGTATGTGCATGAAAATGTATATCTTCGTACTTTTTGATACAATGTATTCATTTGTTAATTTTTAATTATATTTGATATAAATCAAAGGTTTGTTGCAAAACTTTATATTTAAGAACAGTGTTAAAAAAATACCCAAAAAGAAGTCCCAACCATGCAACACAACTGGGGCCTGCTTTAAAACAATCCTGTGATTGATGAGTTTGCTGCCTGAGTAATATTGGTCACCCAGACTTTGGATTCTGCTATTGTTTCTACAATGACATTTTGTATGAATCAAAGTCCTTGGATTAAAATAAAACTTAGCAAAAAATCAAAAATAAACCCCATTCTGCTGGGTGATGTATGTGAGGGCTGTGGGAATCAACAATCAGTGAGTCCACGAGAGGCAAGGCCACCTCCATGGGCATGTGGGCAGGATTCTACAGTTGAGGAGGTCTCAGGAGAAAATGAGAATCCCCTAAAACTTGTTTGGTTCTGTTCACAATGCAAGTGTGGATCAGCCTGAGAATCTGGGTGGGGTTAGGGTTAGGGTCATGGGTTGGGGTCAAGGCCAGGCTTGAGATGGGGGTCAGGGTTTGGATCAGGGCCAGGGTTTAGGTTAGGGTTAAGCATAACTGGCTTTCTTTCCCCTCCTCCATCTCTGTGGGCCTCTGCAGGATAGACAGGCCTCATCCAGGGTCACACATGCATCAGAGGTTGAGCTGGAGCATTGGTTTTCTGCCCCTCAGTCCTAGGCTCTAACACAAGAAAAGCAAAATGTCCACCTGGTTGCTGACTGTTTCAGATCCAACTCCACCCCAGCCAAGGGTTATGGAGGGCCTCAGAGGTCATACAGGGTTCTTCCACCCTCCCACTTGGGAAGGGTGCTGCTGGCCCCACTCTGCCTGGGGTGCCCCAGGTTCTAGCACAGCTGCGGCCCACAGGGCACTCAGTAGACATGTGTGGCTTGATACAGAACTGGCTGCAGTGGCCTACCACCCGCCACGTGCGCCTTCTTGAAGGCCTGTGAGGCCCTACCCATGCCAGCTGGACCCTTCATCCTATCCGAGTGATCAGCAGTGAATAGCAGGCAGGACAAACCTTGGCCTCTGACCATCCAGGCAGGCATCTGTGGTCCTCCAGCTCAGGCCAGGCAGGGTCTTGACACCCCCCATGGCCAATTACTTAGCTGTGCTGCTATGCAGTATAATAGGTCCGTGGGCAGTATAGGCAGCCCTGAGGGATGTTTCTGTTCCCAATGTCTGTGTGGTTGAGACAAGTGCCTCCTCTCTCTCAGTCTCTTAGCTTGCCAAGGGAAGCAATGACCCTCCAAATGTGAATGTGGCCCTGGCCACAGCAGGCATACAGCAGACTGGCCCTGCAGTCCTTTGGCCTCCCGATTTGACATGCGTACTTGTTAAGAATCAAGGGCATGGGAGCAACTGTGTCTCCAGTGGGCAGTTTCTCACTGAGGCTGTGTGGTCTCAGAGAACCATGTGCATGACCCACGGACCATAGCCTCCAGAAAGCCTGCCAAGTGTGGATTTATGGTGTAGAATAATCCTTGAACCTCCCACTGCTTCACTGAGAAATAATTTCCTTACCATCCTCACATTTGATCCCTGCTCTTTGTTTTCTTTTGTTTTTATTATTAAAATTAAAAATTTTTTTTTGGAGAGTGAGAGAACACGTATGACAGGGGGCAGAGGGAGAGAGAGAGATAAAGAGAGAGAATCTTAAGCAGGCTCCACGCTCAGCACAGAGCCCAACGTGGGGCTTGATCCCATGGCCCTGGGATCATGATCTGAGCCAAAATCAAGAGTTGGGCGCTTAACCACCTGAGCCACCCAGGCGCTCCTGATCTCTGCTCTTTATAAAGGAAGGAGATAAGACTGGAAAACAGGCCAGTTTGTTCTTTGGGAGTGGGTGATTAATGTGGTCGGGGGGGGGCAGGTTTGAATCCTGGGCTTCCTCCTCCCAGGGACATGAGTGAAGTCTGTGTGCCTTCCAGTTTCTGAGATTTGAGCACCTGATGCCTAAGGCAGGAACCTTGAGTTTAGTACCAACAGTGCTAAACACTTTTGCAGAAAGTGGAAGAGTGTTTTGCCTTCGTGGGAGTCCAAGAGCACTAGATGGGCGACTGCAGTCCCTGACCCCAAGAGAACCCCTTCCTTCCCTGGACTTCGGATTCCACAGCTGCATTGTCAGCCATTGGTGCGGAATCTGGTACCTTCCCAACCCGGCATCCGTTGTCATGCCCAAGTCCAGCACTTATCTTTCCTTTCGGAACTGTCTCACCTGCCTCCCATCCAAACAGTTCCCAGAGGGCAGCCCCCACATTCCACCCACCTTGAAGATGGGCATATGGTCCAAGTCTAGCCAAACCCATGCTCCATCCTCTGGGTGCTCTGATGGATTCAAGGATGAGAATGTGACCCAAGACAGGCCAAAGACACTTAAAGCCATGACTTTTTGTGGAACCCAAGAGAAAGAGAAACCCTTCCTAAGAGAATGGACAGTGAGTGGGTGCCAGCTTGGAGTTGCTGGAGGCCCCAGATGCAGTGAGGCAGACCACGCATAAGGCACATAGCAGGATGGAGGGTTGGAGAGGGTCCAGGTAACATTGTGAGAGTGTGAGCCCCTGGGCCTGCCAGATTCAAACACTCTTAATTTGCCACTTGCAAGTATTGATTTATTTCTATGATTAAAAAATATTAATTCATTTTACTTCAGTAAGTGTGTCCAGTTCCTTGCCATCCAAAAATGTGCTAGCTGACACATCACAACCAACGATCCCTGAGATTCCCTGTGCACACTTCTTCACTGGGTGGGCCATGGCTGGGGGAGATGAAGAGAGTGGGCGGAGTCAGGTCTCAGGAGAGCTCCAGAACAGCTCTGTCCCTGTTCCTTCTCCGTCCTGGGAGAGGAAAACCCTAGAAGAGTGAGAGGAGAACTAACAGGAGAAAGAGGCCCCTGGATGACTAATTGCTCTGTTTGTATTTTCCATATTTTAGGGTCCGTCTTGTTAATGTGTATTTTTAGCAGGAAACCACTCATCTCCTCTAGGTTTCTGCTCTGATGCAATAGGTTTCTCTTATTTGACCTTTAATTTCTACTCTTCTATTTTTCTACAGAATGGCAGGAATATACTATGCAGAGCCCATACTGTAGGAGAAGGGAGTTAGCTCCACCTCCTTGATGGATGGCTGTCTAAATCTATTATGTGGAATTTGCTAGGAAAGGTCTATTCAACACATTTGTAAAAAAAAAAAAAAAAAAAAAAAACACCTATGCAATCTGTTAATAAAAATGCAGCCAAGTAATTTAAAGGATCCCATTGGCTTCACTGAACAATTAATGAAGCAGGCAGCATCCCGTCTAGCAAATAGAAAGGAGCTCCTTTGAGTTACAGGGAAGGAAATGTTTTTAAAGGCAGAGAAAGAATTGAAAAAAAGAAAATCATCAGCAAAGGATGTATTGTTTTAGGCAAGGTCACCATTCGAAGGTGGACTGAAGGGGCCATTCAGTACATTTTCCAGGTTGACTGGTTGAAGGTTACCTGGGGTGTGTGTGTATGAAACTGCAGTTAGATTAGGTAGTAAGTCTTGGTTTGCTGAGTCTCTGAACATAGTGACTACACTTTTGGGCCCATGGTTTTCTAACTTTTTCTTTCTTTCTTTCTTTCTTTCTTTCTTTCTTTCTTTCTTTCTTTCCTCTCTCTCTTTCTTTCTTTCTTTCTTTCTTTCTTTCTTTCTTTCTTTCTTTCTTTCTTTTTCTTTCTTTCCAGTGTGGACACCCAGTAGTCATATTCCAGCACTACGGTGTTTGGCTGCTGATTCATTCCTGCTTGGCCACTGAGAGCACTTTCTACTGGCTCCTCCTGTTTTCCTTTGACATATTTCCATCTTTGTGTGGGTTTTCTTGGTAATTCCTTACTTTCTGATATTCAATATTATCCTGGATCCTATATTTACTGTCTCAGTCTCGGTGTCAGCAATGTCTTCAAGGAGCCCTGGTTCCTTTCATTAGAGAATGGTATTAAAAAACTTAAATGTGAGAGCTAAATGTGTTCATTGGACAATTCAGGGAAATATATGTACGTATTCCAACCTATGTATACACACCTAATTGTAAAGTTTTCTATGTGGAAATGTCTGTATCTATATTAAGCTAAAGATGAGTTTACACTGATGTCTCCAACCTGGTCCACCATCACACAGACGTGATCTTCTCCCTTTGCTGGTCTGTAACTTCCCACTCCAGTAGTGAGAAACCTGACTCCCACCACCTGCCATTTAAGTAATTCATTGCTCTGTTCCAGATCACAGCTGTAGAGTTTTCAGAACTGTTGGCTACCACCCTGATGGGAAAGAACTTTATGAAATAGAGTCCACTATTTATGTACAGTACATTTTTCCCTTTGTCCATAGATTCCATTCACTTCCAAAGTTACTTAGGTCAGCACCTTTTGCCACACAATTTACAGTGAGATCCTCCCCCCACCAATACATCCTAATATGGTTAGATTATTTGTCACAGTCTGTATCTCGCTGAAGGGGAGGAAGAAAATATCCTTGGTCCTTCCAAGGTTCTTCCAACTGGACAAAAAAATGAAATTGACCTGAGACAGAGCCTGGATGCAGGGCTTGAACTCACAGACCGTGACATCATGATCTGAGGCGAGGTCGTGAGTTTCTGAGCAAGGTTTTTCACAAAGTAGAAGTTTTAATTTTAGGAAGTTCATGTTACCAATTTTTTCTTTTGTGTAATGGCTTTTGGTGTTGTGTGTTAACACTCCTCACTGAACCCAAGGTCATGGAGATTTTCATGTCTTCTTTTTGTTATTTTGATAGTTTTAAATTTCATTTTATTAAAAAATTTTAAAATGTTTACTTGAGAGAGAGAGGGCGCACAAGCAGGGGAGGGGGCAGAGAGAGAGAGAGAGACAAAATCTGAGGCAGACTCCAGGCTCTGAGCTGTCAGCATAGAGCCCAGTGTGGGGCTCCAACCCACCAACTGGGAGATCATACCTGAGCCGAAGTTGGACGCTTAACCGACTGAGCCACCCAGGCGCCCAGATAGTTTTGCATTTTAAATTTATCTACAATTTTGAATGTATTTTGGTGTAAGTTGTAAAGTATATGTCTGCATTTCATTTAATTCCATATGGTTTCCAATTAATTGTTTCTATTTCTGGGGACGTCGGGGGATACTGGGCTCCATTTCAGTTAGAACTTCCAAAACGGAACGGATTCAGCGGGCCCAGGGGAGGGGTCGGTGCCTCCA